CTCCCTCCCTCCCTCTCCACTTTTTGTGACTTTGCTGTTTCTCTCCTCTGTGAAGCCCGTAGTCAGCTAAAGAGCTAATGATAACCATCAAAACGCCTGCCATTCGACATAGATAAGTAAATATTCGTCTTATCAGGTTGAGTGCTGGAAAAATTTAGTGTCTTCCTTCAATGGTCTTGGGCGATTTCTACTCATGCATCTTGGTAAATTTAATTAATATTGCCGTTTACAATAGAGCATTTAGTCATCCATGATCCATTAGAATGTCAACTTATTATTAATAATAATTTTACTAACATCTTTTGTTTATAATTTCCCCCCAGCTCCTACTTGAAATCAACCCGCCTCCGGAGAAGGAGAGCGCATCACCGACCACCTCCACAATCCCATTTTGCCGACGAATGGGCTTCAAAAACTCCGATCGTCTCGACATTAATGCAATGAATGCAGCGGGTGAGACGTGTCTCTACTTGGCTATTCACAACACTGTTGTCTCCGAGGCCATCGTCCTGTTGTTGCTTCAAGCTGGCGCTAATCCGAAGATTGGCACAACTGACTCCAAGCCAATTCATTTGGCTGTGAAGAAAAATCTCATTCAGTGAGCTAGCCCCGCGCATTTATTTTGAGCACTTCATCTCTTTTTTCATCTCCTTAGAATGCTGCTAATTGGATCCTTATCTGAGATTTTCTTTGTCGGTTTTTTGTTTGATGAACCTACGATATCATTTATTTATTTCAAATGGCAGGCGTTTTGATAGCTATCATTAGCCCTTTAGCTGACTTCGGGCTTCACAGAGGGAAGTTTCATCAGAGTAGCAGAAAGTCGAGGGGTGGGGAACAGAAGAGCGATTCACAGATGTAAAAGAGGCAGACAGACACAAAGGCAGAGAAAAAGGTAAGATGAGTAACGTGAAAGCGGTCGAATATGACAAGCTGTCGGGCCATGGTAGTTTGAATTGAGAAGTCAACTGCCGGTTAATAGACCTTTTTGCCGTATGAGTATACGTTGCCCAGGGTGCACCACGTGGAGGTAAGTCTATCGCACACCCCACCTACGATATCATAATTTCGATATTCGGAAATATGCGTAGAAGTTTAATGCCATAGTGATCGATCACGTGAGTGTCAGGTGGCACCCGGTTGACACACAATCCTCCCCCCCCCTCAATTAGTTGAAGCCATTCGCGATCAATATCATAATAGTAGTTAGGGGCACTAATAAGTACATAGCATAGTTGCAATATTCACACAAGAATTAGCATTTCACTGTTTGCCCTGACAGCATGGTAACGTTAATAACTCGCCTACCCTCAAATCAATCTGGGTCCTTTGAACTAGAATTTGAGGGGGGGGGGGAAATTCGTTTCACATGACACTTCCTGTGAAATCGATTGGGGGCATGTCTTGTACTCCGAGTCGTATTATTTATTTACGCAGCTTTCAAGAGTGCAATCAGGCAATGAACTTTTTTACTTACTCAGTTGATGTATATATGTATATATGCATATATATATATATATGTGTGTGTGTGTGCGTGTGTGAATTTCCAAGTTCTTGTTTATTTTATCGAACACGTGAAGGACTTCCTCCATCTCTCTATCTCTCTCCCTCTCCACACTGCCTTTCTATGCTTGGAAGTTTGATTTTGCCAGAGGAGACAATATTTTACTGGATAGCTTTAATGTAGACACCTACTACTACTACTACTACTGTGCTTTCTAAACTCCATGATGGTTTGAAAAGAAAAAGGCGTTAATTCGATCAATCACGTGTATTGGTTGAATCAAACAATGGCTAGCCGAAGGGTTTGCCAGGCACTTCTACAACTGCCGGGTGGAGGGGGGGGGAGGGTTTGAGACGGGAATTTCCCTTGCCTGCCTGCCTGCCGGCGGCTAAGCTATAACTTACAACTTACGTGTTCTGGCCAAATTGGTCTAGTAATTGTAATTTTTTGTTTTGAAAATTTCTCTCTTTCTCTCTGAATTTAGCCTATTTTTTTATTGACACAATTCGCAAGTTCCTCAATTCACTTGTTTCTTTCTCAAGTTGTGTCGACCTGATGTTCAGTTACTACCCCGATGTCATTAATCTTCGAACTCGTTGCAAGAAGCTGTCAACTCTCCATTTCGCTAAAAAGAAACCCGTAAGTTCGTCCTCTTTCTGGTAATGATTTTGTCGGGGGGAAAGCAGCGATCTTTCCCTCGACGTTTATGGGTCACAAATAGGTGGGGGGGG